ACTGAGCCACCTTCCCAGCCCCTCTTCAAGTGACTTATTACCGTATAAGATGAAATAGTCTTGAGCCAGTCATCATAGAGGTTGAACAGAACCATCTGGGGCTCAGTGGCTTTAAGGATGAGATCCCCAAACTTTTCCACTTTGAGACAAGCCTGGAAGGGGAGCTGGAGCTCCGATCCTTTGATCACAATGTTGGGGAAGTCCAGTAAGTGTACCTAAGATGACAAAAGTCACGATTAGATTTACTTCCAGCCCAGGAAAGAAAGTCCATGAGACTTAGAAATGGAACCTGGACACTCCAGGCTTCCTCCCTCATAGCTCGACTGCCCTTTTACCTCCAATGGATCTAACATGCCCTTCCTGGTGACAATGATCTGCTTGGGCTGCTCCTCCACAGGCAGAGATCGGATCAGGGCAGCCACTTCCTCAGCCGTCTTCCACTTGGCCAACTAAAAACCAAGAGAGAAGGAATTGAGTCTACCCTCCTAGAAGAAATGGAACAAAAGATTCCTAGTCTCCAAATAAACTATGCTCCTAATGAACACTGGTATTGAATGAGACACTTCGAAAAAGTGTCAAACAGACTTATACAAAGGGGTTTCTCACTATGTAAGCTGGGGGTGCTGGTGGCTCATGCCTATAATCCTAGCTACTCAGGAAGGTGAGAACTGAGGATCACAGTTCCAAGCCAGCCCAGGCAGGAACATCCATGAAACTCTTATCTCCAATTAACCACCAGAAAACCAGAAGTGGTGCTGTGGCTCAATTGGTACGGCACTTGCCTTGAGCTGGAGAACTCAGGGATAGCATATCCAGGCCCCAGGGTTCAAGCCCCACCCCTTCAAAAAAAGAGCAGCACAAAGATTGGGTACCAGTAACTCATCCTAGTTACTTAGGAGGTTGAGATCTGAGGGTCACAGTTCAAAGCTAGCTTGGGCAAACAAGTCCTAGTCTTCAAGTCTTTAGTCAATAAAGTTACAACTAGCCAGATATCAATGGCTCATGTCTGTAAACCTAGCTACAGGAAGTGAGATCTGATGATCAAGGTATCAAGGGTTTGAAGCCAGGCTTGGTAGAAAAGTCTATGAAACTCTCATCTCCAATTAACCACCAAAAGGCTGGAAGTGTAACCATGTTTCAAGTGGTAGAACAGTGCAAGTTGATTGTTCAACACAGGGCATCTTCTGGGTCACAGGTGACTTTTGTGTTTCAAACTCGTAACACTTATAATGTATCTGCTTAACCAGCCAGAAACACAGGTCTGCTAGATGGAATCATAGGCATAGCCACATAAGTCTCAGGTTACCTGAATATATTTTGCTCTGGCTTTTTAAGAATTCTAGTTAAGCTGGGTGACGGTGGCTCATGCCTGTAATCCTAGCTACTCAGGAGGCTGGGATCTGAGGATCACGGTTCAAAGCCAGCCCCAGCAGCAAAGTCATGAGACTCTTATCTCCAATAAAACACTCAGAAAATTGGAAGTGGTGCTGTGGCTCACAAGGTAGAGTGCTAGCCTTGAGCTGAAGAGCAGTGCCCAGGCCCAGAGTTCAATACCCAGGACAAAAAAAAAAATTCTAGTTAAATGCACATGAAATTAGAAGAGTTTACAGGAAATGAGTTTAAGAAGAGCAGGTTCAGACCCCACAGGATATGCTATTACAATCACTCTTCAGCAGCAAGTTAGAAGTACAGAGAAAAGCCAGGGGATGAGGCTAGGGGATAAAGCTGATTTGAACAAACTAATTCTAGGAAGTCTTTTTTTTTTTTTTGCCAGTCCTGGTGCTTGAACTCAAGGCTTGGGCACTGTCCCTGAGCTTCTTTTGCTCAAGGCTAGCATTCTGTAACTTGAGCCACAGTGCCACTTCTGGCTTTTTCTGTATATGTGGTACTGAGTAATCGAACCCAGAGCTTCATGGATGCTAGGCAAGCACTCTACTACTAAGCCACCTTCCCAGCTCTAGGAAATCATTTTTGAGGTAACAGTAGAAATGCGAACTTTTTTTTTTTTGGTTGGTCATGGGGCTTGAACTCTGGGTCTGGGTACTGTCCCTCAGCTCTTCAGCTCAAGTAGAGCACTCTACCACTTGAGCCACGTGCCACTCTTTGTTTTTTGGTGGTTTATTGGAGATAAGAGTCTCACAGCCTTTCTTAACCTGCCTGGCTGGCTTTGATACGCAATCCTCAGATGTCAGCCTCCTGGGTAGTTAGGATTACAGGCTTGAGCCACCAGTGCCTGGCCCAGGAAGCTTTTGTAATGACATGGATTTTAAATATATAGAATGGAGTCCTCCTTGAGATGGATTTGGATGGATTTATGGGCGAACTGACATGGTATCTGGATTTGCCTTAAAATTCTATTGAAATGGAAAAACAAAAGACTGTATGAAAAAATATGATGAAGCCAGGCAAGATGGTACATGCCTGTAAATCCCAGCACAGGGAAGTCTGAGACAGGAGGATTGTTAGTTCCAGGCCAACCTGGGCTTCATCATGAGGCCCTGTCTTAATGCTCACATATACACACAGTGATAAACAGAAACAGAAGATTTTGTTCTTAAATGAGAAAATATGAAAAAAAAACCTACAGAGTAAATACGAAGATCAGGATTTTAGGATAGTAGGCTTCTGGATTTATTGTTAGAGGAAACAAGCTGTAAATATAAAGAAACTGACTCAACAAGAACAGCACAGGTATTAAATAAGTATCTGTTCCCTTTAGAAAACAGTAGCCTGAGCTGGGTGCCAGTGACCTGTAATCCTATCTATTCAGGAGGCTGAGATCTGAGGATTAGTTTGGAGCTTGCCTAGGCAAGAAAGTCCCAGAGATTCTTCTCTCCAATTAACCACCAAAAGGACAAAAGTGGAACTATAGCTCAAGTGGTAGAGCACTAACCTTGAGCAAAAAAGCTCAGGGACAGCACCTAGGCCCCTAGTTCAAGCTACAAGACCAGCCAAAAAAAAAAAAAAAAAGTAACCAGTAGCCCAGTTAGCAATCAGAGATTCAGAAAGATCAGCTAGAAGCAATAAAGGGTCTCACACAATCTTCAACCTCCTGCAGAAGAATATTTCTCAAGGTAAGTAATTTAAGGGCTATAATCAAATGAGACCTACCTTTCAATAAATAAACAGTAATATTTTTTTTCCTCTATCACTGACCCCTTTACACAAGATTTAGTCAGCAGGATTCAATGGCCTCACTATAATTTAATTGCTCACCTGCCCTAAACGCTTCTGTCCAGCCCACACAGATGTGTGGATTATCTTGAGGAACAGTTGTCCTGTGCGTGGATTGAAGATAAAGATGGCTCCGTTGATAGGCTTGGTTGTCAAGTTCCCTTCAAAGGTCTAAACCATGAACATATTAGTTAGCACTGCCTAGATACAAACATCTTGCTTTCATCCCAATCAGTATACACATTTGTTCTCATACGCTCCCAATGGCCTATGGAGCCCCACCTGCCTTCTAACACTTCTAACACTCACCTTGTGGATAGTCACTCTGTAGACATTAGTGTCATCCACAAACCAGATAATCTGGTTGGAAAAGAGTTCACCATAGTTCTGAGAGGACAGATAAGGCTCAGTGGGCTCAGATGAATAGAGTTGGAGCCCCTTACGAATCCGTTCACGTAACACATACAAGGCAGGATTTGCCTTCATGATCTTGGCCATGGCCTGCTGTATGAGAGGCTTGCTACCTGGGAACCAGTTTCCGTAGGCACTGTGAAGATGGAGGGGGCAAGAAAAGTTAAGCCCCATAGGAAAAACAGACTTGGCTAGGTTGACGCAATAACTGATTAATGTACATATGCTCTGGGAAATGAGAGACCCAGAAAAGGAAATCTCATCTCACCTGGGAAAATTACAAAAGACCTCTGGAAGCTGGGCCCTGTTATCGTAACTACTCAGGAGGCTGAGATCCGAGGATCCAAGTTCAAAGCCAGCCCAGGCAGGAAAGTCCGTGAGACTCTTTTTTTTTGGGGTCCGGTCTTGGGGCATGAACTCTGGGCCTGAGCACTGTCCCTCAGCTCTTCAGCTCAAGGCTAGCACTCTACCACTTGAGCCACAGCGCCACTTCCGGCTTTTTTCTTTT